GATGGGTGGATCCGGCAGCGTGGGACCCGCATCCAAGTTAACTGTTGGTGAGTCAACCTGGTACAGCTGCTCAAAATACTCAGCCCAACGTTCCCGCACCGCAACAGGATCTGAAATGATCTGACCATTTACTGAGCGAACTGCTGTCACCTGTGAAGAGGGCTTGGAGTTCAGCTTTCTCTGGGCTTGGTATGCAGGACGAAGGTCATTTACTAAGAAATGGCCTTCTACCTCCTCTGCAAGACTTCCAATAAACTGTTCCTTGTCCCTTCTTAACAGGGACCGAGTTCTGGGCACATGAGAACGGTGCAATTCCCGATCCCCTGTATGTCAATGCAAACTCTGATGATAATCGTGTTTTGTACCGACTATGACATGTAGTATGTATCAAGGTGTTAGGAGTTTCGGGATGCTGAAAAAAGGCCTCACGTGTCTTCAGGCTTACCTCGACAGCCAGACAAAGAGCATCTGACAAGCTCTTCACCATGAGTCCAGCATCTGGAGTCTTCTCGTTTGTAAGTCCCTTGAAAATCAGAGCCATCCTGTCTGTCGGTAGGTAGAGAGGTTGGTCTCCTATCAAGCGGTGGATAGCAGTGTTGAGGGCAAGGCCAACAGCATTTAGGTGTATAGGCGACGGAAAGGGTACACATTGAACCAATGCTGTCAAAGTATCTTTCACAGCTCTATTGCTGTGAAAGATGGGGTGATACTTCAGAAAACGAGTGTTTCACATGGAGAGTCTTCAAAAGAGAATGTCACTCATTTCATGAAAATTCGAGTTCATTATCAGCATGCTACTGGTATGGGGGGCCAAATAAAGTTATGTAGTTGTCCATGAAAGTTGTCAACATTCAGTCGGTTGTCTTGTCATGAAGTGGGATCAGCTGCAAGCGGGTGTGGTGATCTATAATGGACAAAACATAATGGTACCCTCTAAAAGAACCTCTTGGATCCGTCGGGTCTGCAGAAAACATCACTAGAAGGGCCTCCATGGGTGGATCTTGTCTGGCAAAAAACAGACATTGTATGTCTCTAAAGCTCCTAGGTGCATGGCAGAGGGTGGGTAATGGGCAAGATGCAAATCCAGTGTCTGGAGGTGCAGAGGAACATACAGCTGCTTCACTTCTCTGCCTGAATATTCTCGAAGGTGAACAAATCTCCATCTATTTCGAAACTGGAGATAATAGCAGGTGGACGCTGTTGAGCTAAGACTTGGCGTGCCTTCAACCAGTTGATGAGGTCATTGCAGGTTGGGTTACGTAATTGTTACTCCCTCATCTCTTTTGGGTCCATGGTGGTGAGAACTTGGCTTCATGCTGCTCCAGCTGGTCGGAAGCGCAGGTTCAGGATTAGGATGCTCAACTGGATAGAATCTACAGGTGGGGGTGGTTCACCTGCTGGTCTCAAGAGTACAGGGACAAAGTTACTGGCCCTTGCTAGTACTGCAGAGCAAAGTCGTATTCCCCTAGCTCATGTGCATAATGACTCAGCCTGTTGCTCTTTGTTCGCTGCAAGAAGACATGGGTTAAGGGTTGATGATCTCTCCAGATAGTAAAATGCCGACCATAGGTGTAAGGATCTGTACATGGACAGCTTCCACGACAGCAAGGGCCTCCAGGTCCTTTGTTGGATAACATATCAGCCTCCTTTAGCACCTGTGACCAATAGACACTGGCACAACAGGGCACCCTTTCAGCATCTCGTTGGATGAGGGCAGCTCTAGGGGCCAGGAGACTAGCATCTGAATGGATCTCAAAGGACTGGCTGAAGTCTGGATGTAAAATAGAGGCCTTCACTAATGCCTCCTTCAGGGTGTCAAATGCTGTCTGTGCTGTTTCCCCACTCAAACTTTACACCCTTCTTGGTTAGTCTTGTAAGTGGTCGAGCGATGGTTGCAAATCCTTCGATGTGACATCTGAAAAAGCTGCATGCCCCAAGGACTCGTCATATGTCCCGAACAGATCTTGGCCTTTTCAGTTACAGTGGATACCACTTTCTCTGGATTAGGACGGACACCTACCGATCATAAATCGAGAAGCTTCATATTTTTCTAGATTCAGTTTCATGCCTGCTCCTTCGAAAAGCCTAAGTGCCTCTCACAAGTCCTGTAGATGGCTATCAAAATATGATGTTATGATCACATCATCAAGATAGGCAAATGTGTAGCACCCCAACACTGAAGCAAGCTGGAAGGTTGTGGGTGTGGTGGATAGTCCAAAGGGTACGCAGCAGAACTGAAACAATGAGTTACCATCCGTGAAAGCAGTCTTGGGATGGTCATCAGGTTGAACCAATATCGCCCAATATGCTGATCTACTATCCAGGACTGTTAACCACATCCGGCCACATGACGAGTCCAGGATGTCATCGACTCAAGTGGATAGGTGTCAGGGGTGGTCACCTAATTGACTGCCCTGTTGTCAAGACAGAAGCAGTGTGAACCCTCCCTCTTGCAAACAGACTACAGGGAATAATCAAGGCGGTCATGTATGTTCAATCACCCCTCCCCTCCCTGGGCCAGTGTTTGGTTACATTCAGCCCTGATTTTCGATGCCTGGAGAATGGTGAAAGTGAGATCCTCTTCGGCATTCACAATTTTGGGCAAGCCAGTGAAACTCTCAAGCTGTCTTGAATGCAGATTCCTAGTAGTGTGGCAATTGTATCCTTCACCATCGTCTCAGAGCCTGTGTCGACAAAACAAGAGAGAAGCTTACTATTAACAATCATAGTGATCATTTGCGTGCCTTCTGACTTCTGCTGAACATGCTTGACCAGCAGTTTCATGGGTTGTATCTTGGCCTCCCGTTTGCCGGGACCCTTGCCTTGGACGGCACTCACCAAAGGGACACATGGCAGCAGTGTCTTGGCTCTCCACAGCCACCAATCGATGATTGCGAGGGCTACTACGACGGCGAGGTGAGGATAATGGCTGAGTCAAGGCTATCAGCTGCTTCTGTAAACGTACCTGGTGGGACACAGACCGAGTCAAGTTACTCATGTTGGGTGCAGGTGCCCCTTGGACTGGAGCTATCCAGAGAGAGCTATCACTATAGTGCTCCAGGGCTGGCACATCCACGGCAGTGAGGTGTCCTGGAGTATGTAGGCCCAAGACCATGGGTGCACATTGTTTTGTGCTAGAGGATCAACGGCAGTGAGGTGACCTGGAGCATGCAGGCCCAATGTCATGGGTGCACCTTGTGTTGTACTAGGTCCTTGTTAGAGGGTGTCCAGCCCACAGACTGCTGAAGATGGACAGCAGGGCTTCTTTTACCCCAACTGCCATATTCCAGGCTACTTGGCACTCTTCAGCCATCCTTCAAGTCGAGGATTACCAGCCTGGCAGTCCAGCAGTGAAAGTCTTCCTCACTAAGCCTTCCATATACCCGATGCCATGAGGATAATCACGGGCGCCCTACCTTATAGGTTTCAACAAATTGTTAAAAGTCCAAGGGTGCCTGGCAGGGAACCATACAGGAGTGAGCCAGCATTTCAAAGAAACGATGGCATGTACTGGCATCTCTAAGCTTTGTGCACAGTATAGCCTTAAGCTAATGCCACTGAAACAGCAGCATGGCCATTTGCCTTGCAAATGAATGCATCATCGGTGGAAGGGTGAGTCAGGAGCTCGATGATGGTGATCAATGACTTAATCTCCTGATTAAGCTGCTGGCGTCTCACCATAAAGTGCAGGTATCTCGTCACGGCCACTAGCGTAGGAGAGATGAACAGAAGCACCAGCAAATAGGTAGGTAAGAGAGAATGGTTGCAGAAGAGGTGATGCTGATGATGCACAGAATGTAGGAGCTCTGGTAGCTGGAGGCGGTTCAGAATTCTACTGTAGAGGTGCAGTATTGACTTCAGCGTTAACAATGGAGGGCGCAAAAGTTCAGGGACACACATGGATACGGCACCACTCTGGCTGAGAACTATTTGCTGGGGTACCTGTGTGGGTGGGTTGGTCTGACTTCTGCTTCCTACTCTACTGTGCAGGATAATGCATATTGTAGCTGTGCAGAAGTACTTTTAAGTCGGGTAAGCACCCCAAATAAAGACTGTATACCTGCTACCTCATCCTGCTCTGGTTGGCTGACTGCATCTGGCCCTGGAATAGATACCTCCTGGATCTTGGTCCCTTTGTTGGTGATCACTCTGTAGGGACGGTGGCGCTTGACCCTTGCTGGGAGGATTTGAGCTTGCCCATCCTTTTGACTGTCTTCAAAATTTGCCGTTGGGTAGCGCAGTTGATAGGACGAGGAGCCCTGCTGCATAGATTGTATGCTGGCTGGAAGTGGATGCCGACATCACCACACAAGAGAAGGGCTGTGCAGGCTGGCGACATCTTGAGCAGCTAACGGGACACGTTACCAAGTCACACACACACACAGCCATACTCGAGGTCGTGCATGGGTTTCGGCTAATGTAAGCATCAGCACTACTAACGACAGTGTAATACTCAGCCGCTGACGAAAAAGAAAATCAAACCGAGATCAAAAATCAGAACAAGGTAAGATATTCATACAACCACAATAAATCATGACCAAAACATATACTTTGTGCAAATACCCGCACCGCTGCCGACCAATTATATAGCTAACCCTGCGATGGTTCCTGAGCCCACTCTGATGCTCGTGTTGGAGCTGGCTGGTTTCCGTTTTAGTCCTCATGATGAGTGCTTAGCACGTAAATCATAAATGATAAAAATAAAAAGGTCTTCACGTTAAAGCGAATTTATTATAAAAAAAAGAAAAGTATAAGCAATACAACGGTCAGGATTCACAAAAACGAACAAAGAAAGTAAACGATGAAACTTAGATCTCGTCAACTTTTCGTTAATGGTTTACAACAATCGAATGAAATAGGGTAAATAAAAATATAAAGGATACACGAACAGTGAGCAGTGCTATTTGCGAGGTGTTACGAAAAGATTAAAACAAGGATCTCAAGGACTACTACACAGTTTTCTAGCAATCTACAGCACAGCTCTTCCTCTCTTCCCCAAGGCCGGCCAGCGCCTTCAAGACGGACGCCCATATCCAGAAGGAGACGGAGTGGCTGTGGCCCGTGGACGACACTCAGATGATGTTTGTGGCCGGACATGATGCAGGGGCTCGCTTCGCCAGCCCTGCCATGACCCTCAACTCATCGGCGCCGCTCAGGGTCGAGGACGTCGAAGAAGCTTTGTTTCAGCTGCAGAGGTAGGGTCGGGTGTTGGCCGCTTGCTGCTTGTGAGTCTGATCATTATGTCTTTTTGTCTATTATTCATTCTTTTTCTCCATTTACATTTATCTGGTCTTTATATATATATATATATATATATATATATATATATATATATATATAGAGAGAGAGAGAGAGAGAGAGAGAGAGAGAGAGAGAGAGAGAGAGAGAGAGAGAGAGAATGAATTAATGATACACCAGTTCCTCTGTTAGAGAAATGAGTTTCAAGTTTTCTCTTCCTTCTTAGGAAAACACCGATGTACCAAGCATGTATAAGTGAAAGAAATGGAAGACTATGGTGGAAGAGAGACGACCTCGACATCAACTTTAAGGTTAGTGATACTTAGAAGGGTTATTCAAATACAAAAATATATATACAATTTGCTTCTTGCTCTCCTTAGTTGCACTTTTCTACCGTAGCTTACACTCCTTATAACTCCTTTCAGGTCCTTGAAAGAGGGACAGATACACTGGACGTGATCAACGCCATGTGGGACGAAGGCTTCGAGAGGGACGGGGTGGTCTGGAAGTCTCGCCTGGTGCCCGCCGACGCCCACGAGCCATGCCCGATGCCCGAACTTCAGGCAGCTTACCCCTACCAGTACAACTTCATGACTTGCACCCACCATGCCATAGGCGATGGCATATCAGTTGCCTACCTTTGCCAGGGTTTCCTCGACATCCTCAACACAATCATCGACGGACGCCAGGTCGACGACAAGCCCCTTGGGATCTTCCTGTCCTGCGAAGAGATCGCGGCCAAAGACGAGCTCATTCGAAAGCAGCTTCTGGAGGATCGGGAGCGCCTGGAAGGCCTCAAGGCCGAGGTCCTGAGAGCGAACAAGTCGCCCGTCCTCCACAAAGCTTTTCCTCGTCCGAGCGTCGACAAGCCCACGACCAAGTACATCATCAACCACTTGGAGAGAAACACACACGACGCATTCGCCAAGCGGTGCAAGGAGGCGGGCGTCTCCTTCGGCTCCGGGATACAGGCCGTCATCAACACTGCCATGGTGGAGATGGTCAGGGACGCGGGCGTTGACGACGAGTACCACGACATCAGCGTCAATCTGGCAGCGGACCTCCGCAGGTACATGGAGCCACGGCCCCTCCCCGCGCTGGGTCTCCACGCCCGCACCATGGCCAGCGTCACGCGCACGCACAAGGACACGCGACAGCGCTTTTGGGAGTAC